GATAACCAAAATGGCCTGCATCAAGCAGGTGACATCTTTACACTCAGAAGCAAAAGATATCACTGATGCTCATTGATATATCAGATCTGTATACACACAAGAAGAATGAGCAAACTGCATTGAAAATTTAATGATTATTAAATAATTATCATTAAACAAAATAATTAAATCACTATCACTGATGTAGTTACCTTCAATTGCTGAGACATTAAAATAGTATAAACCACAAAATACCAAAAAAGTTCAGTAAAAATTCTTTTTATCTCTACCATATTCTATAATTTTGCTGAATATTCAGAACAAAGGAATAAGCTATTACCTGTATATGTAAATCTTCATTAGTTTTTGCTGGAATAATAAATGCATTGTCTTTTAACGTCAGAGAAGAGGGCTTACTACTTTCTATGACGTGACACCTGAGCCTGTAAAAAGGAAACAAGAACACACACCAAAAATCACAAATTTAATGCAACATTGTATAATTAGGAATAAACAATCCCTCTTAAGAGGATAAAATCCCTGCACTTGTAAAATTTAAGATACAGTAATTATAATTACAGTACATTTAGTCTAGGTTTACCAAAAAGTAAAGGTCAGCATTCATGAGTAACTCGTGTACACAGCACAACTGTGATCAAGTAACCTCTCTCTATTGTTTCAGGGTCTGTCTTAAAAAAAACCCCAAATAAATTGTACCACTTATGCAAGGAAGCTTAAGGTCACTCACATGATGTAGATTTTATTCAAAAGGGAAGTAAGGGATAAGCACTTGAAGCAAACACAGAACACGATTTAGGCATCACAACTCAAAAAATACTTTTTCCACGGTAGTTTTGGACACAAAGGGGTAAAGGCAGCTCCAAAAAAAACAGCCCCACAAACCCACAGAAAAACCCCAGGAACAATCTAAGGCAAAAAAACCAGTCAAAACTGCAGGGAACTTTTCCTAGACATGTTCAGTGATACCACCCAATGTGACTGGATGAGAGAGAACAGCAACAGGTGCATTTAAAAAAGTGTATGGGGAAATTATTTTTCTAATGATTTTTCTAGATGACTTTTTCACCACTAAATATTGAAAATACACATATGATCATGTGGTAGGTTTTCAGAGATTTTCCACAAAATTCTTATTTTCCCTAGTAGAAAAGGAACATTTTTAATATTGTATAGAAATGGTTTTGCATTTACTATGTCTATCTTCCTTGACTGCTTCCTTTTAGAAAACTCAAGCGACACATTCTTAATAAAAAACCAAAATCCCTATTGTTCATGTGTATTGTCACACGCATTCATATTTTTTCCACTTAACTCTCTTCATCAGCATGAGAACAGGAAAAAAAAAAAAGAGCACATCAAGAATAACATTTTATACATTAAACCCTCATCTACTCAGTTAAAACAGAGCAGAAGTCTCAGTAATGTATTTTGGTCAGTAACCACACAAGTGATTTTGGAGTATCCTTCACTGATTATGATTACACAAGTGCTATAAATCAGCTAAACAATAAAAGCTAAAAAAGACCCCAAACTCCTGTTACCAGAAAACCATATGCTTACCTATGTTCCATCACTTTGGTCCTAGGGACTTCTTTCCAAAACTGAGTCAGTTCTGGCACACCTGCTCCAGAAGACTGGTCCATTTCTGCTGCCATTATAAGGAAACGATCCTGTAAAGAAGCTGCAAAACCTGCCCTCAAGGAAGACCAAAAGAAAAAAAAAATAGCAACAGTGTGCTTAGATTAAACAGCAATATTGCAAGGAGGATAAAAGTATTTTGCACAAAAGTGCCATAAAATGAGAACTTGTTTATTGCAGGACACCAGACACTGACTTGCTAGAAATAAAAATAAGGAAATCATTCTCTAAAGTTCAATAATTCTAATTACAGTTTTCCCAAAATTATATATGTTCATTTTAACAAAACTAGTTTCATCTTAATAGCTCAAAGACAGTGCAAAATTTTCTCCAGCAAATTCACCTGTCCTTGCAACAATTTAGGAAATTGATTTACTGCAGATAAACTCCCACTGTAAAAATGAACCAGTGACACAACTGCCACTCAGACTTTTTGTTTTTTAACAAGAAATAAAATGGGTTGCAGACAACAGCTGCTTATGCCTTAGTGGAGCAGTCAATCAGTACAGGCAGCTACTCAAATCCTTTCTGACATCCATGTTTTTCTAACAAATGGTACCATTCTCATACAAGAGTCAAGTAGACATGGGAATCAGTCAGCCCTACACACCAGCAAGCACACACAACCATCAGTGTCTAGAGCATGTCTAGTAATGCAACTTGCCCAGATTTCTTACAAGCTCTATTTTATATTTTTACTTACCACCATGAAGAGAAACTATTATATCTAATGATGTGCCAGGCTCACAGCTGCTGTTACTGGGTTTAACCCTGTATTTTTCAGGTGCAGTTGTTCTCACCTATGAACAAGAAATATAAAGGATACAGTAAGTGCAAGCACAAACTACTTTTGCTTCATAAATTCTCGCATTCTGTAATAACTAAATCCCCAAAAGCTTGAATATTAGGACAAGTCTTTAAAATATAACATTTTGTAGGCATAATAGGACTCTTACATATTCCTTTTTCCACCCTGTCAATTGCATTTATCCTTTGTTTTCTTGCATTTGCTATTTTTCTTTTTCATACATATTTAAAAACAGCCAAGAACGTTTTATAATAAATACAAAAATATGAAAACTGTATTTTAATGTGTAGAGAATGCAAAACATGGGAAAAAACCCACAAACATGTAAGTAAACTCCATTTTCTGAAGCAAATATAACTACTAATTCCTTTGATAGTGACATTTGCAGATGGATCTGCAGAATTCTGGAGTATTGCTAAATTGTTTCCAGCCAGTATTTTAAAAGAAACATTCTAAAAAGATGGACTTTTCAATGCTCAAGCCTTTCCTTTTCAAGAAGTATTACTCTCACCAAAAAACTAACCACCACTTTAGCTCTTTTTTAGTCAGTGCTCCAAAAATTTTTAATACTAATTATCCCCTTTGAGGTGGTACATCATAGGCATAAATTCAGCTAGAAGATCTTGATCTACCTCAAACATCACTACACAATAAAAAACTTAGTTTGTAAAATGGTAATAGTATCCTTCCTCCTTAAAGAAAACAAGAAAAAATTATACAGTTAGTAAACCAGGCCACACATAAAACACTTACCTTAAAAGCCACTACATTTTTAGTGACATTTGTGAGAACTATTAAACATTTTTTCTCTCCAGTTTCTTTGGATCCAAAGTATAGCTCTTCTGCTGGGCTAATAAGAAATTTAAAAATAGTTAGTTTCTTCAGATTATCTTTTTACAACAGATCATAGAAAAAAACATGACCATACCTCCACAAAAATAAAATACTTTTTACCCTGCAGCTATAGTCAGCATAAAAGGATTTTCATCAAAAAAAGCTATGAAAACAAAAAGCAACATTTTTTTAGTGAAGCTCAGGGTTGACTCATGACAAATGGAACTGGCTGCCTCAGCTGATTACTGCCCTTGACTTCTGCCATCTCTAAGAGCAGTAACAGCCAACAGATACTCAGAGTCAGCTACTGCATATTTAGGCAGTGTGTTAAGGGAAAGCATTGCCGACTTTAATTTATGCTCATGCATAAATAAGGTATCACAGACAGGGAGTAATTTAAACCTCAAACATCTATCCTTGTCATGGATATAGTGCACACATAGGAGAAGGCAGATATCTTTCCAATCATTTCAACCACAACTGAATCCACTTGTATTTATGAGTCAGTCTTCACATACTTGTGGTATCACATGCATAAATAAAGTTATTGCTTGTTTTTAATATTCTTGTGCAATTAAGAGAGTCATGCATGAGATATTTTAAACCACATCAAACTAACACAACTCAATTTGGATAAGCATTCAAATGAACACTAGTAGCTAAAAGGTAGGGCATGCTCATATAATACAAGTTGAAAGTAAACTTGAGTAGCAAGAAGAGGTACGCCTCTTTCATTTTGTCACATGAGGAGCACACAAAGAACTGCCATTCTACTCTGTACTACTGAGCTGCATATTTTTTCAAAACCATGATTCTTTTCCTCATGTCCTCTTTTTGGAATGCTTATTTCATGTTAGTTTGACCATCTCCTCAAAAGACTTCCTTTTATGGTACCAATGCTTCTTCTCCCACTTAAACCAGCCTATGATCTGAGAAGAAACACCCTTGGTGCTGTAGGGCAAGTGTGAACGCCCATGCTGGAAGCAGATTCTAGGGCTAACTTGTGACATTGGGGTGCTGATGTTTTACAGTGCATTAGTCAGTCCACATGACAAGACTACTTTTGCAGTGGGGATAAGGAAGTGTGCCAAATAAGGTAGAAACCAAAATAATTGCAGGTTTCAAACAGCCTCATATATTAATTCTCTCCTCCTCTCAGTATTCTTTCATTTCCAAATTGTCAATTTAAATAACCAGTGCTAGGGAAGGGAAGGATTGTAGCTACAACATAGTTTAGCTATCTTAATACTGTACTACTGCAGCTGTGTGTAACAGCAATTGCAAGATGAACCATAACTGAAACAAGATAACGATAACCAACCTCAAGATAAGCCACAAACATGATCAAGGGAAGGAACATACTGACAGAGCCTGATCTTTCTTGTTCTACCAATTATGGTCATTGAGAAAAAAAAAAAAAAAAAGAAAAAGCTTGGGGACCATGGCTGTATGGCTCTTGTCTGTGAAATCACGTTCCACAGCATTAGGGGTTAGTGGTATGTAGCTATTAGGAGGGTGGATTGTGGACTGTTTAAACAAACACCCAAGCTTTTTAACTTTCACAGATGCAGGGATTTCGTTATTCTGATGTGTGTGACATAACCAGCCAGTACTAGAAATTCTTGCACCACAACACACCACGAGCAGCTCCTCTGTCAGACAGTACAAGGAAACTGCTGCTTTTTGTCCAACCAAACAAATTCATTTATTGAGGAGAAAGTCAGAGGCAGCCTTTCACTGTAAGGTATACAAGGCAAATACAATTGTGGTCTAAATGAGGGAGACAGCTGTCTCATAAGCATGACTGAAAATACAAGAAACAAAGAGCACAAGGACCCAGCTTTGGTCCATGATTTTATGGTGCCAGAGCTGCAGTGCCTCAGGCGTGTGCTCAGGCTGCTCCCTTCACAGGGCAATTCTGGGAGATGAGCAAGGATGCAAGTTAATCATGGTGGCAGAGCTTATGCTCTCTGTCATAGGTGCCTACAACTGGTTATGAATGGCACTATAGATTACTGGTTCAATTACTTTCAGTTTAATGTCCAGAGCAACAGCTGCACTCCGGCTTTTAATTTGAAAACAAAGCAAACAGCAAAAACAATGGAGACACCAATATTTTATTTTCCATGACAGCAAGACTACAAGTATTAACACCACTATATTTGACTAAGATTACTCTTCCATGTGCTGCAGTCCATGTAAATAACTTCTATTCAATGACAGCTTGAAGTATTTTAAGAGAAAAAAAAGGCAGTTTCTGAGGGTGTTTCTGCTTGTTTGCATTTTTTTTTCTTGTCTACTTATGATTTGTGCTCCTTTTTTTTTTTTTAATTAAAAAGTGGTTGGAAAAACACATCTAGCATTTGTGATTGTCACAGAAAACATTCAACATTCTTTTCTAATCACAATTCTGCAGTCTATGCCTTTGTCTTGCCATACAAGAAACTAAGGCTATACAGAGGAGGTTTTTAATTTCAAAATTAGGAAAAATTTACACATACAAAATGTATTTATGCTAATGAGCATGTCATTATTAAAATTCATTCCAAAACTAATTCATTACAGCACTTAAAAAGTTAGCTAAAAAATTACCTAAAAATTAGATATTTTCTTCATTCATCTAATAGCAAACTGAAAGTGAAAATTAAAAGTTAACATCTAAATCAAATTCTAAATAAGCATCTTAACCTAAAAGGCAGTGAAAAAAAAAAGTTATATTGGCTGATTTCTTTATTCTAGTTTAGTGATAAAAATAACTGCATGTTATTGCAGTTATGTTATGCAAGATGTAGCATCTTGGGTGACAAAATCTTCTGGGTAGAAATGTCATTAGAGAGCCCTTTCCACATAAAATAAACTGGACTCATTAATCAAATTTAACTGGTGGAAACTGTTACTGTAGACATTTATACCATCATAAGCCAAAAGAATTCAAGCAAGACTTGACAGTGAAAACTCTTGAAAAAGCATTGATTTCACTGGCTCAAGAAAAAACAATGTCAAACCATTGGTCTCGTTACAGGTAAGGACAGGCTTAACTTAGATGTTTTCTCAATATAAACAAAACACTTCCACAATTCTATGGAATATACACCTATTTGTACAAAAAGTATACCAATCTTTGACAGAAGATTCACTGAAAACTTGTAAAACCAGAAAAACACTTTGAGCTTTGTAAAAATTCATCTTAAAAAGTTTATAATTTGTTTTCCTCTAATAGTCTGAAAAAAGTTTATTTTGAAAACCAACTAGTTCAGTAGTCAAGTGTCCAAGGCACATTGTAAAAAGAAAATTTAAGAAAATTATTATTACCTGATATGCAATAAAGGTCCTTTAAAAGTGGTTAATGCTTTCTTTGCATTTTTTGGTTTGACCTCTGTTTTGTCAGTGTCCTCTGATTTGGAAATTTGTTCTATAGAATTCATCTGAGTAAAAATGATAATTATAATGATTATCTAGAAACCTGGATTACATGTTACAGAATGATGCAGGTATTTTGAAGAATATGATGAGGCTTCTTTCAACAGTTTACATATTACAGACCAAACTTTATATATATTCATTCCCTGAGGGAACTTGAAGTCCACTGAATAAAATTATTTACTATAGAAGATACATAACACATTAAACATGTATGAAACAAAAATTCTGCTTTGTCTTTTTTCCATGTATTTTCTTGCTGGTTGGGTCTGTTTTTGTAAGCTCCAGACACACTAAGTTACAGCACTTCAAATATCAAAGATTATAAAGTACTGGTATTATTCATCCATTGAAAATTAAAATTTAAACAGATTAAAACAATACAATCGCTGTACCACTGTAACAGAAAGCACAGTACCAATTCCACACTTCATTGCATTGCAGGGTAGCTAAACATATCTTCACTGCTCTAAGATGAAACTCTGAAGTACTGCAGAACATAAAAGAAATAATGCTGATTGAAACGGTGCTTTCAAAACTGCAGGTACATCTTAGGTTCTGAGGGTTTTCTTCTATAACATTAGGAAATTTCATGCAAAACAGGGCAGGTGCTGGGGGGTAACAGAAGACTGAAAGAATTAGTGACATCTTGATTCCAGATCAGTTGACTCAAGAGTCTGCTTAGTCTCCTTTTTTATTCCACTTTTAATACGGAGAAAAGACATTAATAGAACTCAGCTCATGCAAGTTTGAAGTATGGGAATGAAAGGAATACAAAACTTTATATGAAATAGGCAGTATAAAAAGAACCTACACAGGCACTTTTTTTTATAATTATATAAAAGTGGTAGAAAAAGGTTAGTGTGTAATACACTGCACTAGTTATATGTTAGGCTTTCTTCAACATAAAACTACCAGAAAAAATATTACTGTAGAACACAAAAATGGGAGCAGCTACAGGACAGGCACTTACTAACCAATTTTATCAGTCATGATTCCCTGTACTGAAAAAAATTGAGTAGCACCTTGGTTACACTGAATAAAAGAGAAAACAATTACATGCTTTATAGTATTTCAACAGTAAAAAAAAAAGTAGAAAACTAAAATACCTTACATAGGAAGTTAAGACCCAAGCACCAAATCACTTAAGAACAACTTAATATATTAACTTGACACTTAAGCACCAAAGGCAAGTCACACATAGAGCAGAAATTCTCCATGTTTCTGTATATGAGAATCATAGCTTCTAAAATGTGTCCCAAGGAAAACATGCTACTGAGTCTAACCATGGTTGTGCAATGCTTCCTTTTGACCTTAAGGTCAGTGAATTTTTTTTTTTTTTTAAAGCTGGCCAAGTTCCAAAACTTAGTGAGCTACACATTTCAAATTATTCTATCAAACCTGTAATGGTAAATGAAACTGTATCCTACTACATTAAACAGGAGTTTTGCAGGTAATATTCCAAAATTAATTATGGTAATAAAGTAGTAGAAAAAATTTTGAAATTCACTACTTTCAACAGCAATATCCCCAGTTAATATCACTGCATATTCCTAAATATCACTTCATATGAACTTGTGTAAAACAATGCCTTTATTTTCGGATAAACAAAACTGCAGGAATATTATGTTGCAAAACATGATTGATGGAGTAAGAATACAATTTCTCCTGAGAATAAATGAAAACATTTGTTGAGATTTTATCAATAATTTAAGAAAACAAAGTAACATCCAGTAGTGCATAAATATTTAACTCAAAATTTTTTCATGTACATACTGATTTAGGCATTGGAGAAAACTAAATCTAAATTTCAAAATGATCACCACTAAATTTCAAAATGATCACCACTAAATATCCCAAGATTAAAAAAGTAACTGACTAGAAAGACAACCTTTGAAAACAAAATACAGAAACCTTTTTCCTTTTGCTGTACAATTCACTATATTCCAAGACTAAATATTGAGCACATTTTATGCATTCTGAAGCATGAAACTTGTCTTTACAGACCAAGAGTCAAGGTTGAAACTGCAACTATTATTTTTCATTTTTCCTGTGTTCTTTTGCTAAATTAGAAGACAGAAAAACTGTTAAAAACATAAAACACAAAGACAAGTAACCAAAATTATATGCCTCTTGTCCCACTTTGTAACCATCTAGCTAGTCTTGCCTAAATCTTCACTTAAGATACCTTTTTCTGATTAAGGTTTTGTGTTTCATTCAGCTCCCCAGCCTCCCTGGTGTCTGCCTCTATCTCTTCTTTACTTTCATGTTCATCTTCACTTGTAATGGGCCCATTTTCACATAAAGGAGTTTGAAAATCATCATCAACCAATGGAGGATAACTGTACTTGAAAGAATCCTGAAAGATAAGGAGATTTATAGAAGATAAGTTATCCAAGAGGATTACAAGTGCCTTCTCTAGGGTTTTTTAAATGGAAATACTGTCTTTGTTTCTTGTTTCACATTACTTTTATGTTTCATTTATTCATTTCAAGTTGCACCCCTGCACAGAAAGCTGACACCAAGAATTTCTATTTTATCATCAACAGACAAATACAGTCATCCAATGAAGCCAGTAAACTGTAACTTTTATTTTATTCATAACAGAACTACAGAAGCTGGTCTATCAAGGATCAGCATTCACAGTCTAATTCCTGAAGTTCTCTTCTTCGTTCTCAAAAACATGATTTAAAACTTATGACCACTATTTCTAAAAATATTTCAAAACATGATGAAAAACATCAGTTGTTCCTTGTATGTTAGTTTCATAATGGCCACTTAAAAAAAAGGAACTAAACCCCAAAACCATAAAACAACCAGAAATAATCCCTTAAGTTTAACATAATGTGTGTGGACCTTTAGAATATTCTGCAATTCAGACCTCTAGTCTTTGGAATGCCAAATCAATTTAAAGACCATATTTAAGACATCTGAGTAATGTTGCAGCAGAATACTTAAGTTCTCAATGACTCTACAATAAAGGTACCTTTTCCATTGGAAGATCAGTAAAAACCAGTTTTTGCTAACTAGAAATTTTCTTAACATGTTCCAAATTGTTTTATTACATGCAATGTTAGATGCAGTGTTTGAACAGGGAACTCTGTTCCTACTGCATTCTCAAGCAGTTTTAAGCATCAAGTGAACTGATATAGTCTGTCAGTTTTTCCAATGGAAAAAAATAACATAGCTTTGACTCCTGTGAGGCAGAATGGAGCAATGCCCCTGCTTCACAAATTATGCCTCCTTCAGCTGGGAGTTACAAAAAGGTGTTTCAAGAGAGCTCTTCATAAGCAAGAACATTTTCTCAAAACAAGGAATAATGTGATGTTAAGAAAGATTAAAAAGGAAAAGTCTTAGATGGACCTATTCAAAGAAACCAAAAACAAAGTATACTTCCTGCTCATCTATAATCAATAAATAGCATCTACTCTTCAGGGTGCAGCAACAGTCAAAGACTTCTAGGTGAATGAAATAGGTATTTCCTGGCTTAAACAATATCCTATTAAGGGCCAGAAGGACAAGCTTTAAGTATCAGTTACAGACCAAATCACTATTAAGACTCCACAAGAAATATTACAGTAGTCTTACAGAATACTGACATCCCACATTTGACAGAAATATCCAGCTTCCCCTTATGCAAACCAACAAAGCCTTGTCATTCCCTCCCAGCACAGGATGAAGGGCATGTAACAAAGTGACCTTAATAGAAGGAAATTAATTGTGCTGCACACTTTACTTGGCCTTGTTAATCCATGCTGCTGGATAGCTTCAAGAGCTGAGTTGTCCCACTGATGAGATTCTGTTCAAAGTCCCACACTTCCTAGTCACAGTGCCTAATTTTCAGTGACATGGGTGTATCTACTAACAGGGTGAAAAACTCAGCCAGGTAAACAAGACATTTATTCAATGCCTTATATATCCATTCTATAAACTTAAAGCTCTTTTTTATATCGGATCTAGAGAATGCATGCTACTATTTTTGGCAGTTTTTGTAGAGGTGTCTCAATCATAGTGGTAATATTTTCTAAGGTTACATGCACACAGTGGCCATAAAGTCATATGCAAGCTTAGTCATGTCTTAATTTCAGGCCACTGACCTATATAAGGTACTTCCAAGAAAACCTGTGGGCTATCAATTTAGATATCCAGGTGAAGAGCACAGCAGTTGCACACATCGTTCAATGCTGGCATCAGTTGAGAGAATCTTGATTAATTCACCCTTGTTAAATCCATCTTCTGACAAAGACTGGGCAAAACAACAAATTAAAACCCTACTGTGTGTACATGTCTTGTATTAAAGTGTACATGGTATGTACATCAGTCTTGCAGAAAATATTACTGAAGAGACAAATCTCCCTGCTCAGTCAGAAATGTGTATGCCTTAAGAACTGAACTGTTCCAACAGCTGGAAATGGCAGAATGTGTGATACAATAGATAGAAAAGCCAGAAAACACCAAGTTATTTTTCATTTAATAATAAATGTATACTATTACCAAGTGGCTCTTGATAACCTAACCCTAATTTCCCAGGCTGGCTACCATCAGCTTGCTCCTAGATCTGCCTTGGGCAACTTTTTAAGTAAAATAAACCTGCTATAAAGAAAATTACTTCTGTGCACTATGGATTAACAATATAGACAGCCAATATACTGATGAGGACTTGAATGGAACTTAGACCAAATTAATTTTCCAAACCCTGCAAAACCCAAATTAATTTTCCAAACCCTGCAAAACCCAAGTTTCTGTTTTCTATAAGTAGTTTCAATGCTTTTGGTACTCTGGAAACATCTTTGCCCACTAGTTGTCCAAAATCAAGCATGTGATACTCCTTTTTCACAGCTGGCTGACAGTTAATAAAAGGATTTTAAAGCTATGGAAAGTTTTTTGTTTCATCTTTTGAGTGACCCTGAAGCAGACTTAAAATATGCTTAAAGATAACTTCACTGAGACATTGAAGCTTGAAGGCTTCCAACAGAGACAAAGAACAGTTCCCTTAGTTAAGCAAAGTAATCACTGACTCCAAATTCAGCACTATTAATGCTACGAATTTTTTTTTTTTTTTTGTTATTTCCAGAACTAGTCTCTAACATTCCTCTGGAATACAGAGGTGAAAATGCAGTGGAAACTAGGTATCTCCCGAAATTAACCTGCCAAATTATCTGCTCCACTAGTTGCTTCCATCTGCAAGACCTGGCTCTTGAAAAATTGGATCCTGGTAGGGGATACAGCAAAGGATGCACAGATATGCTGTGTTCTTCACTGGCATTATGCTCATTGTATAGTATGAAGATCTGTAACTAAATGTGTGGAAATCAAAGATGACAGAAAATCAGAAGGAGGCAAAAAAAAAAAAAGTCTTTCACAAACAAAACCAAACACTTCAGAGAAACATGGAAGGAATCAATTTGTGCAAGTCAGATACTGCATTTAAAAAAAACCAGGACTGACAAGACTCATAATGGTGAATTTTACTCGAGCTAGCTGCCTCCAGGAAGCCAAGGTTAATCACATCAAGAAAAGTTAAATTCTGAGAAAGGGCATTAAGTTGTCAGTTGTCTGGTCAGTGAAAAACTCCCTGCTATCAGAGATGCAAAGGCACTGCTTCACTGTATACACTGAAAAAAATCTTGGGAAGAAAGATTCAGAGCACAATTTTGGAGTTTCAGTATTTGCTAACAATTCTTCCAAATTATGACAGTTCTGAGGTTAAAAGCTCAAAACATCCATTAAGTGAAACTCAGTAGTTACATAAAGCATGTGCTGGTTCAAAATACAGGGCTCTTAATATGCAGAGATAAAGCTGTTTTTCTGAAATTCTAAAAATCTCTGGAGTTCTTGTCAAACAAGTTTACTACTATTCTACTAACTTTATTTCTGCCACTGCAACTTTTTACCCCAGACAAATGATTTTGTGTGGGATAAGATGCCTCCATGATTCTGAAACTTGTTAATGCTCTCAGAAGATGGGCAACATGGAGCCAGCTTGATTGATCAACAATCATTAATCAGCAGTCAGACCTTTCAGGCCCAAGGCAAGATTACATATAAATCTAAGACTGTGTGTTCCATCAGCTGTTTTTAAAGACATAATGAACTATTAGGTAAGATAGCTTTAATGAGGAAAAAAACTTGCCCCTCTATTGCAACAATAGGACAATACCACAGGAGGCAGGCCCAGAACCACTGCTAAACAACATTCAGTCCCTTACTGAAGCCACTTCAGACATCATCAGCCCTTCCCTCAATGTCCACTCCGGCAGTGCAGTAATTTCAGATTTCTTCCATATGAGGAAGTTCTTACTTGAGACTGGGAGCTGGTGCAGCAATTCTCCATGGAGAAAAAGGGCATCTTTTCTTCAAGAGTCACACGTGCTTTTTAAAGGCTCCTAATCTCAGTCAAGTGAAAATAAAATAACATTCTTTTATGTTCCCCAAACAAGTTTCTTATGTCCTGGTCACAATAACACGGACCTGAATTCATATACAAAGGAACATGGCCTGCCCTACTATTACTGAAACACAACCCTCCTTTTCTCCATATTGTTACTGCCATAACACCAAAAGTACTTCAGAAAAGGTGGAAAAAGAACAATGAAAAGTAACTCCTCTGCAGTGGGCTTCTACTACTACCATAAATGCCTATTAAAATTTTAAAGCATAATTTTTCTGCCAATTCATTTTAAAGATTATGCAAGCCTTGTGAAAAGTGAAACCTGTTGTGCAAGATGCTTGTGCTGTTCCACTCTTTAGATTGCACTAGGTCTGGATTCTGGTTCTGTTAAATTGATGCCGCTTGTACCAGTTTGGAGCTCTACTGTACTCTTTGGAAAGAATCTTAAAATGCAGCCCTAGAGACAGCAAAGGAAAACTAGCTACAATATAACTGTCTTTAGTGAATCATAGCTTTAGAGCAGGATTAGAACTCTCAGAGGACAATGAAACCTACTTTCTGTTCATAGAACTTGTTTCATAAGCAAACACCATCTCTAATTCATCAGGGGGGAAAAATGTACAAGGGACAATGACACTTAGATAATTTTTCTTCAAGGTATGAAAAACTAAGTGGTTTTCAGTGACTTACAAGGGGATGAATAATTCAGAAAAAATTGTTCTGTAGTTAGGAATGTATTTAAGAATGCAGATACCAAATTCTCATTAAGTTAACCTACTTTATATTATCATGATTTTGAAATTATCATTGGCAAAATAATTTCAAGAAATCTCCCATCTGTGGGGAGCCAACCCTCAACCCCACATATGAAATTTATACAGGTGTCATGTTCCTGTTGTGATAGATTAAGACATCATGACATTTCATACTTACAGTTCCACCCATGTGAGGTGGCAGATACTCTCCACTGATGTACTCCTGTACGTCATTCTTGTTTGTGAATTTTAACATGCTTATTGCATCTGGGCCAAGCCAACCCTTCACAATTTTAAAAGCAGCTTTAAAAAACAAAACCAAACCAAACAAAACAAAAGGTATACATGAGTTAACAGGAAAGAAGTTTTGTTATTTTGTTTTTGTAAGTTTTTTCAGTGTATTGGTAGATCTTACATAAGTGAGTTACATCCCCTCAAGATATTGCAAAACCTGCTCTGAAAGTATCTATCAGAATGAACAATACAAGGGAAAAAGGTATTATTTACCAAGAAAATGGAAGGAGTATCTTTGATTTAGTAACTCACAACTCTTTTGCCTTAGAATTTAGCCCTTGAAGTAACAAGCAGGTAAAACCAATTGTGTTTCCAAATCTGAGTGAGGGAAATTGGGAAAGACATGAATGCACTGTTCCTTGCTGAAATGTTTTGCTGATTTAAAGGATATTTGTTAAGATTTATGAAGCATTTACAAAGACCACTTATTTCGGTGACAGTAAAGCATGAGTACGCAGGAAAATATAAAGCCAACATAAAAATGTGTATTCACATGGCAACAATAGAGGAGTAACATATTTATCCTGTACATTATAGTTACAGTTAATTATTGAAGTATCCATACCAGAACAAATGTAACCACATCAGCACCCAGTGTCAGGCATCTATTTTAAACTGTGTATTCTAGTTTTGGTTATAAGTCACCATTACTGCTAATTATAGGATTCTTGAAAAGGTTCTAGTTAGCAGCATTCAAGGAATAGATTATTTATTAAGGTCTGCTAACCTTTGAAAACAACAGGATGAGGATGAATAAAGACTTCATGTAAAGTATGATCCAAAGTACAATGATAGAAGGAAAAATAAAAAGCATGCAAAAAGTATGCTTCAAACTGACAGATTTAAAGGTGCATGTTTAAAAAACTCCATTATTTATCTGTATCTACACAGTAGAAAAATGCTTCCAATTTATGCCACTAAATTGTAAATTATTAGAATCCAAAAAGAAAAAAGGAAAATAAAAAACCAACTTACCATTCATTATCCAAGGCATTTCAAATATTACTATCTTTGCTGAAAAGCAAAAAAAAATTGAATACTAAGTGCTAGGTATTTCTCTATTTAACAGTTAGTACAGCAATAATGTTCATGTAAAAAGTAAATATTGACTTTTAAAAACTTGCATGTTCACCTCCTTATAAAAGGTATCTTGCACTATCTTATCGCTATTTGGAAACATTAGCTGTTTGCTTGGAAAACAGGTGATAAAATTCCAAATTATACATTGCCTATGTACGTCCTGGGATATTACTTTTCTGACAATTGGTTACTAATAGCTCATCTCACAAATAAGGAAAAGAAAGGCAATATCTCAACCTGGCCTAGAAAATCAGCTACTGAATAGAAGAAAGTTTAACAAGTATATCTAGCACCCCATACTTCACAAAGAAACAAACAAGTGTTTTCTAACCTCTATGGTTAAATAAAGAATATTTGGAAAAAATAGAAATACAAAGACTAAGTATCCCAATTTTTTTCCTCTTGAAGGTCAAACTACAAAAAACAGTGTTACACTTGCCTTTAAAATTTGATATTTGATCAAAGCTTTGAACTTTGATCTTCAAGCCAAAATCTAATATTCAGAGTTTAAGCAGTTGATGTATGGAAGTTCAACATTCACATATATTTTCACCTAAAATTTACAATACATTTAAGATAAGCTAGCATAAACTATGCAGTGTTTGCCTAGCAGGCAAATACACAGAGTTTTCTAAGTGTGCACACAAAAATGCCTTTTCAGAATAAATAATTTTTAGAATAAGCCATATTCATAAAAAAAACATTATTCACCATAAATTTCTAGAGCCATTCATTTTTTCACTCCTGAAGACTACTAAAGGATACAAACTGTCATGGATGTTTGTAAAGCTTCTACCCAAGTGACAAGCAACAAAGGAAAACAGGTCAAATCCTTTCTATTATGTCCTCATAATAGCTTACTATATATAAACATAGTAAGAATTATTACTTAGTAATAGTAATAAACATTATTAGTTCACAAAAAGACAGTTTATTTTTTGATGAAAGTAAAGTTGTACTTTCACAAAACGAAGCTGTACTGATTCCAGGACAATAATATCCTAACACTGTAACATTCACATTTCGTTAAGTTGCCCCAGAAAATAAATTAAAAAACCCTTTATCTTCCCCATCTCCTATCATATTACAAAATCTTCGTGTTACACAAGTCTACAATGCTTCGTATTTAATATACAGTACTTACTGAGAAAGTTTGGGTAATAATCTGTAAAACAGTTGACAATAAACCGGACAAAATCCAAGTCCTAAATTAAAAAGAAATAATTAAAAAAAATCCCATAGTATCAATGCAAAGCAAAGCAAAACATTAACAAGTACAGGCTTAGTTAAGGCATTTAATGAAAAGCACAAGAGATATATTGTAATCAACTACATTAAAATTTTACATGCACTACAAATATCCTCAAAACAATGCAAGGCTTTTTCCTCCATTAAACTGCTGCAGGCTTGTGGTCACACTTCCCTTTATAATCTAAGAAAGAAGTCAATAAACCTCTGAACAGTGCAATAACTAAGATATGTAAATTATTGCAGACCATCAACAGGATTTAAGATGTGCTGGAAAGATACTGAAAAAAATAAACCTTTAGCACTAGAGAAGCTTGACAGATGAAAGAGTACTCAACATACTGAAATTTCTCTTCAGTAATTATCCTACATAGTGTTCAATATACTACTGCACTCAGCATTATATTTCCAAAGGAAAAAAGTCAGTTTTCCTTTGAAGAGAATTTTTAGGTTTAGTATTAGTTGGTGGCATGCAGAGAAGCTGTGGGCAGAGACAATGCTCAAAAGAGCTGCTTCTATACCACCCATTTTCAGGATGCTTCTGTCCAATGAGCAACTGTACAGAAATAGTACAGCCTGTCTCCTTTGCAAAACCGAGGTATAATGGAACTGGTTACACAGTCAAGGGCAAGGAAAGCTTTTTATGGAACAGGTATAGAAATAAAGTAAGAAATACCTTACCACAATAAGGGACTCATGTGGGAAGCCTGCCATGAGTACTCTTCCCAATCTTTTTAACAGAAATGACCACTACTACTACTTTCAGAAATAGCACAGAGCATCTCTGGCTGAGGATCCAAAGCCTGTCATAACAATAACAATGGGGAAGGAGCTCCTAGGGTGATGAAAACACACTACTGAGACATTTGTGGACAGAGTGAAAAAAGCCCCAAAAAATAACACTGTGTAAGGGGACTACCCACAATCTGAAAGTTTTTAAGTAGCTTCAGCAACTAGAAACTAACTTGACAGCTTTACAGGCAGAAGGTGGCCTCTAATGGAAGCATTTATCTCAACTGTCTGTTGCTTGTACCAAATCCAGTACCTTTCATTTAGCATCACAAACACAGTAATAGATTAGAATTATTAGAACCTCCATTAATCAAAATGCTGCTCTCTATTCTGCTGCCTACCCAAAAAGCGACACTATCAGAGAGCAGAGGGATAGATCCATTATTCTGAGGAGAGTCTGGAATTAGAAGTGCAGATTTCACAGACCATTCAATAATTGCATCATATTCTAGTTACCTGAACTGGTGCAATAAGCCATGAGCTATCAGAATTATCTCCTGCATACCAGTGATAAAATTGATATAGTATATGTCCATAACAAGAGAACAAACAAATCAGACATGCTCTGGAAAAGAACTCAGAGATCCAAGTTCTTTTTGTTAAGACAGACAGATTTATCAATTACACCACATGGCTACATACAGCCATCAAAAAATATTCCTTTTCCTGTTCTGTGATAAACATACTAACTACAAAGCAAGACTGTACAATGGGACAGTTACAGACAGCATTTGTTGCGATTTTGTCTCTGGGAGTCTCAAAGACACAGGGGGGAAAAAAGCTGCTTCAGGACATAATCTATAAAACCCAAATCAAATTAGTCTTTCACATCAAGGAAATTATTACAATCCTTTACTGTTCTTATGTAAAACTGTGGTTCCAGTATTATCTTTTGGAGTGTGAACAGATAGTTCTTACCTGTACAGTGAGAGCATCAACCTTGTAAAACAGAACCACACCATATTTATTTGTAAAATTAGCTCCTTATAAGCTGGTGGCCCTGTACTGCACAACTGCAAGGTCCCAGTGCAACATTAATAACCTTACCTATTATGGACAACCTTTTGGAGTTGGGTTTGGGGATGGGGCTTTTTTTTTTTTTGCTTACACTACTTCTTGCCATGTCACCACCACCACCAGATAAAAAAAAGCACAAAGATACAAGTTTCAGCCATTCCTATAATAACAGGACAGCATGGTACTCAGTAAGAAAAATGTAATTGTCTACAGGTTAAAAAATTAAATGCATTTGTATAGAATCTGTGAGATTTTTAGTTATTAGATTAAATCAATAAATATGTGCTGATAGGCAAGATCTCAACCTTGCAATCTAAACCAGCTCACCCATCAAACTATAAGAAAGTTTTCAGCATGTTGCAGAAGACAAAATTTAATATGTAACAAAGGATTTTGGAACGTGCTTATGTCATGGGAAAAAGCTCTACCATATCACTTATCTCAGTGACTTATTTTTGTGTCAAGGACTGTACAGTGACTTCCTTTTTTCTTTTAACACAAGTTAAGTAATTCCAAAAGCAATCAAGACAAGACAGTAAAAATACTTACTATGTGACTGATTCCAGTTTCAGCCATGTCAAATACCACTGTCAAGGGCTTTCCATGATCTCTCTTGGCATAATGTTCCAACCAAAAAGCGACCAGTTTCTTTTTGTCAAGTTGCTGTTTAGGATCTCTTGTATGATGTTTCACTTTGAACCAAACTTGGACAAAAACACCCAGAGAAGTTGAAAAGAAAGATCCAAGCAAACAAAAACATCATGCAAATAACTATAGAGGATACACTGAGATGTATTAACACCTCTGGGTTTGTATTTTATAATTGTCCTGATTTTGTGACCACTGAACAGCTAGAAAATCAACTGCACACCTCTTCATGTACCCCACATTTTCCACTTTTTTTACTATAATTTTTTAGAAATTGAAAATACAAATAATCACACCTCAGAAAAAATAAAAGTGGAAAACCACTTTTTGTGTATTTAAAGACAATTTACCTAGATTAATATTTCATAATTTAAAGTTAAATCACATGGTCTTCAGACAATATTATGTTCAGCACATAGTCTAAGTATTGCTGTAAAATTAATGTTTCCTTTTCTGCTTAGGTGTCCTCCAGCACTGCAGTTGATGTGTTTTGTAAAACTATTTATATACGCATTAAGAATTATATGAAAGAACAGATCTTTCTAAAATAAAAAATTCCAGGAGGTGAGCGACATTGTAAAAATGGAAGTCTAGTATTTATTCTTCTGGAATAAAAAAAATGAGTCATACAGAGACTTGTTTTTCCATTAAAAAAACCCCACAGGCATAATTCAAAGTAAAGATTTTATAAAAATGTCTGAAACCAAGTTACTGATTATACAATAAGTGAGAAAATAAATATTCAGGGCAGTAATGTAAAGAGTAGCTTCCATTTTTGCTACCTTTACAGTACATAAGTTAGACAAGCCTGAAAAAAACTTTAGATATGCTCAACATTCTTTACCCTGAAACTTGGGAAGCTGTAGTAAAAACCAGATTTCTTCTCCATGTTTCATGTAAAGAAACAAATGTTTCTAAGTATAGCATGTCAGCTATACTGTATCTCAAGATTTAGAGAAGCCCCTATTCAAACACAGAACACACATTAAACTATTATATTCCTGTTTAAGACAGTGATCACATTACCAAGCCTGTCTGAGAGTCAGGCCCATGGTGTGATTTTGAGGCTGCCCTGTGAAGTGTCAGGAGTTGGACTCCATCATCCTGCTGGGTCCCTTGCAACTCAGTGGATTCTATGATAAATAAAACTTTATTTCTCAACTACCTTTTTAAGTAAAAACAGTAGCCAATATATATCTATGTCTGTTCTTAAAATGCTTATTTTTCAAGATGATAAAATGCTGGAAACAAAATAATGATCAAAGACTGAAAATAGTCTATTCTGTATGACTTACATAACTTATAGCCCTCTTTATCGTATCCATGCAGAAAGAGAGCACCAATTTCAAATAACCATTTTGGAAGGACAGATTCTGACAAGTCTGCAAAATCAAACGAAACATTATTTCAGTAACTACTAATAATCATATTGTAACTTAACAGAAGTCACTAAAAACTTAGAAGTCTAGCAAAAAACCCAAAAACATCTTTATAAGCCACTTTGCAAGGCCTTTATAATGCAAATATTGAGATGAATTGAAATCTTTACAATCTTGTTCTCATGTTAGAGGAGAATCTATTTATGAAATCAGATTTTTTTTTAAATCTACAGAAAAAATGCTGAAAATGTTAATTTTTTTTCATATTTGAAGCCTCCCCACAATGCTCTTCCTTTAATTCAGTGTGTGAAGTCCTGTAGTTAGAGTTCACCTTAAAAATATTTTCACAGCACAAAAATGAGATCTCTTTTATTTAATATACCAGACCAGTGCTATTACAATGAACAAGATAGCCCTGTTTGCTGTGGGGTTTTTTTGTTGTTTGCTTTTTTTTTGTTAGAACTCTATGATGCAAAGAGACAAAGTAACAGACAGCTGCCTTCCTCCCTTCCCCTTAAACAGCCTTTCAATAGACATATGGAACTACAACAAAACAGACACTACTGGTCAACATAAAAAGCAATACTTTTTCTCAGTCTTTTGCTCTTTTGAAAGTTCTTGCTTAGCTCTCTGTGGTACTTGCAAACCTTTTAGAAGTTATTAATGAAACTACATATAGAGGTCAGTGGAAGTTCAATAGGAAAGCAACACATACCTTCAAAATCACTGTGTAACATAGCTTACCATTAACTGTGTATTCTTTCCTCCATTGAAAGCTTTCATCAATCATCTTCAATGTATCATCCACAACATCATGACGCCAAATCAAGTAGTTTTCAACCCATTTATCATCTTGCTGAAGTCTTTCCACATCTCTAGAATCGTATTTATCTGATTTATCTAGGAAATAAATAAGTCAGTGTCTATAGCATTTGCTACAGAAACGTGAAGAGATTTGTTAAGTGTATGTCTATACATATCTACTTGGTACATAGGCTTTCTCTTGCAGTTTATAATTTAAGGAAACAAAGCACAGCATGATAAATTATTGACAAACATCTGCTGCAATGATATTTAGGGACACTACAACATTACTCTCACTAGAAATGTATTTTCTGTGATCCTTATGCAAAGAAAAAAACAAGGTACATTTGGGACAGGTGTAATTTTTCTAAAACCAGTTTTCTGTAATTAACATGAATTAGTATATAGTATTAGAATTTCTGTACTGATGAATGTATATACCAAACATCACAAATACATGCTTGAGTTCTCATACTTACAGGTATCAGCATGTTAGACCATTATATGTCTGATAAATACAAAATTCGTGAGTTTGAGCATGCATTATACACACTTGCATTAAACAAAATTGTTTTCTTTAAAAAAAATTACAGTTTACACTTGTTATAAATTGTTACCCTACTCAATAAAAACTACACACAACTCTAGAGTAGCACAAAAGACCCTAAGGCTTCTTGTATCACATTAGCAACACAGTAACAGGCTTACATGCTTTTGGTAGTACTTCAGATGAAGATTTGTTGTTGCTCTGAGTTTTATTTTTAAACAGGAAAGTAAAACACAAATGCTAAATGGACCTATTCCTAATGTAGATACATTTAAACAAAAGCTCAGTTTTTAAATCAATGATCCTCTGCCTGAGAAATTGGTAAAAATGGAATGTAAATCAAGAGCCCATAATAGAAACAGGCTTCTGAAAGCAACAGACACTGATACACATCTCTGCTAACTACTAAAAAATCGTAAGCTCTTAAATTATTCAATTAAATTCATGATTACCATGGAAAAATTATGACTGTTAATAAAACAGATTTAATTTTCACATACTGGAAAGAACTGTTCCTCTGTCAATAACAAACTGCTTTCAGAGCCATTGACAACTCTCTAGAATTGTAATGGAATGGCTTGGCAAAGTATTTCAGTCAGACAACTCTGAGGAAGGAGATTAAAAAAGACACGACTAAATTATGCTAAAATTTGTTGATTTACTGGCCTACGTGCAAAAATATGATCTATTTTACTTGTCTTTCAATTTATATTGTTTCCTGTTATAAATTAGTCAATGTAACTGCAAGAATATTTCAATTTAAATGTGTCCATTCACTAAATTGTAGTTTCACTGCATCTCTTCACATCTGACTGCTTCTCACATGTTCCCTTCTTCCTTACGCTTCAAATTTCTCCTTCTCTTAATCCCATACCACTTTGCTCCTTAGATAACCCTATAATTTAATCCCAGTTTCCTTAATCTTAGTCCCCTACTTTCTTCTCTGCCCAAAAACCTATAATCCACTAAAATCTTTTTAACTATTGAAGTTCCTTTTCTCATCATTTCCATACTTGCACTGGACAGCTGATTTCCTACATTCCGGCTAAGCCCAGTGAGCACTCAGCACCAAACTGAAATGTTTAACTTCTCTGTGGCTCTAGAGGAACCACAGAGGAATTGCAAACGTCCTGGGAGTGAAATTTTGTCTCAGCAGTCTCAACTGCTCATTTGAAATTTGTAATTCTCCCAGTGATTTAGGAAGTTTTGTCTGAGAAAAGCTAACAGCACTTAGTTTCAAGTTAACTACTTCACCTTGGTTTAAAATAATCTCTAACACACACTGGCTTCCAGCTACAACTGACTGCAGTTAATCAGCCAAGTACCTTGCTGAGATCAGTCCCACATTTATCTCATATAAATAAGGGATTAGGGTACTCTAATGAAAGAGAAAACCCACCACCAGGTAAAAACTAACAGGATAACATTTCACACCACTTTTTGAGGCTCTCTAATCTTTCAGTATCTGTCTGAGAGCACAACTGTTAAAATTAGACAATTGTGCACCTTGTATCAAACAGTAATTTAAAACCATTGACATACCATTACATGGAACAAACCTCAGTCACTAACAAGTTTTCCCAAACCCTGAACTTAGAGAATACTTTTACGAACATAGACAATTTAACTTTGTGAGTATTGTAAGAAACTTGAAGTGAAACAGAGACAATGTTCCCAAACTTCCAGCATCAATGGAAAGCAAGCTGCATCCAGTGATTACGATAGTTGAAAAAGCATCTTTCCCTCTCTTCTGTAGCTAAGTTCTCAACAAGACACATGTAAACTGAATTTACATATATGCTACAATATACACTAAAACCAGGGGAAACAACTATTCAAGTTCTACATCCACAAGCCCTTGCAGAAAGCCAGTATTTGAATCAGGTTAGCTTAAGATTCACAGAAGAACAGTACTGAGTACTGAATACTTTTACCTGCTTGATCCAATTCTTGCTACAAAATAAGTAGACTTTAGAATGAGAATGTGAATCCAAAATAAAGGTGTTTTATGTCACACACAAAAAGCAGAATGATATAAAATTGACTGAGTCCTTACAAGAACCCAGTGACTGAAAATGTGTCAGTTCAGAGGAGGAATTCCTCTTCAAATCTGTACATGCCACATAATCCTACAGACCCTTGGAAACTTGTTTTCAAAATACACTGTGAAATAATCAGAATGTTTCTAATTTTAATTCACTCATGGAACACTTGAGTGCAGTTACTGCATTATAAGAAACTTCTGGAGTTAAATGAGAATTAGTTAAAAGAAAATGAGACTTTTGGGATTCTCAATACAATTTAAATACACCCTGCAGAACAACTAAGAGGCCAAAAAAGAAACAGTATTTGAGGGGCACCCAAATGGAAATTCAGGTAAAACTGAAGTAACTTACCTCAGACAATCTCCAAGCCTACCCATTTAGACACCTGTAACCATATACTGATGCTTTTCTCAAAGGAAAATGAGGTGCTTGCTTCTTCACACTTGCAGGACTGCCACCAAGACACTAAGTTTAGTCACCCTCAGCTCAGGAAGAGAAACCTCTCTGTTACTGAGTCCATATTGAACAGAATTTCATAAGGTGTTTGGAATACACATCACTCAGCCCAAAGGTAACACAAGAACAGCACTACCAGATATTTCTGCTCAGAAAGAGTTACTGCAAACCATGTGTGTAGCAGCAGTGCCAGACTTTTGTGTAGCATTTCATAGTCCAGGGGCTTGGAAACCTCGTTGCTCCCTCAGTCCAAGACACTCAAACCTTTCTGTATCATAGAATAGTTCCACAGCCCATAGAAGAGGCAAAACTGAGATGCTGCAATACTTTCCCATTGACCCAGGAAACCGTAAAAACTAAGTAAAACTCAGATCCAAAAAAGGAAGAAAAAGCATAATCTGCCAAATTATAAATTACACATAAGGGAGTGACAGTAGCAAGGAGATGTGGCCATTATTAACCCTTTTTTTTTCCTTTATCTGAAAGCTCTTCAAGAAAATTTGAGAGAGCAAAACTGACTGGGTATTTAACCTTATTTTGAAAATAACTGGTTAAAGTCACTTTCATTTTCTCATTGAGCATTTGAGGTCAAGAGAAAAGATTAGAGGAAGATAAAAGCTGTTTGAACAGCAACTTCTATTACTTGCCTTCATCTTTTTTTTTTTTTTGGCAGGGGGATTTAGTGAGGACTTCTGTCCTTTCCTTGAGCACATTCTGTCCTTTTAAAAGTTGTCTTCAAGCTGAGAAGGTTCCAGTGGAACTCTCTCACTTAATTACTATGTTTCAACATAAAGTATCTTCTAGAACACCAGAGAACAGCTCTGAAATCAACTGCAGGAGTACACAAAACTAAATGCACACAAATTTCACTGCAATACATTCACTAGAATATTTCATTAATTTTTCTGAGGCACAAACTGTAAACTTCCCTTTCTTTATGTTACTCTTTTTTTTTTTCACTGGCATCTAATTAGCATGCCAGGAGCCCCTGGAGCAGGTCCAGTGGAGGGCTGCAAAGATGATTAAGGGACTGGAGCACCTCTCTTACAAGAGCAGGCTGAGAGAGCTGGGCCTGTTCAGCCTTGAGAAGAGATGGCTGAGAGGAGACCTCATCAATGTCTGACAGTGTCTGCAGGGAGGTGTCAGAGGAGGGGCCCAGCAACAGGGCAAGAGGCAATGGCAAAGAATGATGCTCAGGAAGTTCCTCCCGAGTATGAGGGAGAACATCACTCTGTGACTGAGCCCTGTAACAGATTGCCCAGAGAGGCTGTGGAGTCATCCAAGGACTGTCTGCATGCAAAACTGTGCCCTGTGCTCCAGGATGACCCTGCTTGAACAGGCTGGACCAGAAAAGCCACTATGGTTCCTTCCAACTTGACCTATTCTGTGATTACCAGGAGAACAGTGCTTTGCTTTCTTCTAGTGTTCATGCTTTAGGAAAAATACAAATTTGAGAATATTCAGCAGGAATGTAACAGAATAACTACAGAACTCAAAACCAGGCAGCACAGCTGAGTCACACACTAAATTAATCCACAGAAGTTCAGAATTAAAAACCTGAATTACCTCTCCCTTCAGAAAAAACTCTTCTCTAGAAAAGTAGTATTGCAGGATAAGTCCTACCTTTTAATAGCAAATAAACATAAAAACTTTATTGTACAAAGTAGAGGAAAAAAAGCAACTTAGAAAAGTATATCAAGTGTTACATTACACAAAGAGACTCAATTTAACTACTGTCTTAAAGCTATTCCAGCCAAGAATTCTTGGTCTAAAATGGTCACAATAATTTCTCTAACTTTGGCTACAAAGAGGAAACCCATTTGAATTCGCTGTTGATGGCAAACATTAAATTAAGTACTGTAACAATTCAGGTATGTACTTTCAGTTGCTACATGAAAAAATCAGCAAGACTAGAAAAAAATTAAGGTCAGTAGCCATAAAGGGACAGGGATGAAGAACAAACTAAACACTATTTCCATCCAATAAGGAATTATTTCAATAACCTCAAGCAGCAATAGACAAATAAAATAACTGCCTCCAGAAGCTGAGATAAACAAACTTTTAGCAAAGCTGAACACTGTCAGTGACAATAAAGACTGCTTTAAATAAAAATCTCAATCATTAATGTTGCACAACTTTTTATGAAAGTATGCTTCCCATCTTATCCTTCCACTAGTTTCAGCCCGAAAGCCAAGAACCAGGAAAAATACACTTTTCAGAGCATAAAAAGACATGCAGGTATGCAAAACATTACTTTAACAGTCTTCTACAATAGTCTTATCACTGATTTTTAAGGGTGTCTCATATGCCTAAAAATTTATTTGCAATCAACCCATATGATTAACAAAACACTTTTGCTACTGGCTTAAAGAAGGTCATGGTGAAATTTTATCCTTTACAGTGGAAGGCTAGGAAATCTCTCTTGCAAAATATTTTTTGAAAATTAAGATTTGCCTGAAGGAGAAAGGAAAAGGATGAAAATGGGGAGGGCCAGGAAGTAACAGGCAATTAGAAACAGTTAATATACAAAAAGGACATGTGAAGAAAACTAGCTTACTGAAAAAATCTAACAAGACTTGATTGTAAATAATTTCCACTGTAACATTAAAATAGAAAGTCATAGCCCAGAAATAAAAGCTAATTTTAGAAATCCTCTAAGGAATGGAAATTCACTGTAGAAAAAAACATGCTTGTTTGCTAGAAAACATTGTTAGTGCCAGTCAGTGCTAGAAAAAAACCCTTTTGTTTTCATTGTTCCTTTCACCAGTAAAATCATTTACGTCACCAACTCTCACAAAGAATCTAAACAGGCAAAACAAAAATTAGGCCCAAAACCAGTGAAGACAAAGTGCTGTCTGCCTACCACATCAGCCAGTGTTTGCCAGTCAATTGGCCTAACAGGGACACTATTGGAGATAAACCTTTTAAATAGAAGGGTTTCATTATTGGGACATACATTCCTCACATGAACTGAAGTTGTCTTTAGAACCCAGCTAGAAAGTTAACTGAAGAGAAAAAAAGCACAAGATTTCAGTTAATAATAAAATACTGTTTTGCAGATAAGATCCAACAGTGGCCAAGCTTTCCTTCTAGAACACTTCAATGGCCAAATTAGCCGAATAATTTCAGCAAGAAAGTTCTCCTACAAATTTTGATAAAATGAACCAGCATGGTTCTCTGCCATTTTCACAGTCTATCAAAAGCATCTTCTGATTTGGTCACATAAATGAAAAAAAAAAAAAAAGTATAATTAAAAAAAACAGATTTATGGTGCTTTCAATTGCTGAACAGAACTTTTCCCACCCAATCTTGAAAATTGTCAAGACCACAGCATCTTATTGTAATAATAATTATAATACATGCCAAAACATTAGACTTTTCTGAATCAGCTATATATTTTTGTAGATTCTACTTTAATCTAAAAATTGTGTTCTGCCAATAAATAATTTCAATTAAAAAGTAGGATTTCAAAGACCCTCTAAGTTCTAAATTCATAACAAAAGTAAACATTACTGTAAGGCCATCATAGCACTTTTGACCATTATGAAATCTTCCTGCATGAGGAGTGGCAGGAGGTAATCTAGTAACTATGAGTTACAGAATATGGAAGAATCGCTTCATCTTTGATGATCAGAATTACTGTGCTTCTAGAATAACCAGTTACATTGTTTTCCCCAGAGGGAAAACACAAAAAAATGGCAGCTGCAACCTCCAGAAAAAAAAAAGATTGCCTGAAAACTTTTCTCCAACTTTAACAACTGTGGTCCACCTATATACAGAATAAAGTTTGCTCTGTAGAGCCCCAGAGTTCTGTGACCACACTAAACTTTACAGGAAGGATCAGCTTCTCAGCATAGCCCGACAGTGCCCTTAGTTTTGAAAGCAGACTAAAATTCCTGGGTGTGAAGCAATCATTTGTACCTTTACATCCCAAAGTCACAGGTCTTAGAGTGTCTGCATACATGGAGCCCCACACTCCTTTGATTAAGAAGCATAAAATAGGTTTTAGAACATACACAGTAAAAGCTGATAGACCAGTACAAAATTAAAGTCCTGTGGTTTTCACTCTTGATTGTGGTCATGAGAACATTAATTTGCTTATGGCATTCCCAATTTTGTGGCAGAATCTTAACACAAACTCAAAAAAGTCATAATCCTATTTCCTTGAAAGGGCCAAGAGCCTAAAACCATGACCCAAAAATGGGCTTACTGAGAAAAAGTGTTCAAAATACTGGAAATAGGATTACAGCTTACCTTGCAACAGCATTCAGTTATTTAATGGCTGCATCAACCAGCCCAACAGAGACATCCTCACAACCTAGGGAAACTCGTGGAATTCCAAGATTTTAAGCAGTAGATCAACTGAAAGAATAATACCCTTTTTCCACAACCACTGTCCTAGAGCAGACCTAGGCTTTCTGAAATAATTATTTATGAGTGTGAATCTGGGATAATAGAATACAAAGCAAGTGGAATCACCTACTGTATGAAAATATATAATAATTGAACAAATTAAGAGGCAGAAAGATTTAGAATTTAAGATGAGTCTCCATTCATTCTAGCCTCAGTTTTACAAAGTTATCTTTATTCACTTAGAAATATCAAACAGTAAAATAAGTTCTCTCTACCTCAAGACTTTCTAATAAATTTTGTCACCAGAAATACAGATCATTTCTAACCAAGGCAAAATAAGTCTCCTTTATGAAAGTTAGCAGAGCTGCCATATGAGACAAAGTTGTACCACCCTCAAGACCTTCAAAGTTTTCCAAAAGCATGTTCCAGCTCACTACAATGAAGAAGCACATAAGCCTTACATAAAAGTGATAGATAGCAAGGTAACCTCAATAATTCTGATCAGAAACACCAAAGTGAGTTTGCAGAACTGAGGCTCATATTAAAGGAGATGCAGGCAACGCAACTACTGGACTTTCACTGTATTTGCACTAAAAATTGCATAGAAGCATATTTTTAGTAGAAAGTCACAATGAAACATACTGTTTGCTGTAGTTGTTAGCATACTCTACATTCATCCAACATAAGCAATGCAAATCAATTTAGAAATAGAAGGAAACCACTCTAGGCTTACCCCAGTCTTCCCTCTCCTCTGGGCATCCCCAGCATCTCCCAGCCCTCATTTACAAATTTAAGTGCACCTGCACTTAGGAACCGAGTTGGACATGCAGCGTGATCTTAATTATGGCCTGCATGAATTTCAAGTGCAAGTTACTCCAGAAAAACAACTACTCTTCCTTTGAGAAACTCAGTGAGGTCAGAATGCCTCCATTCCCCCTTCCCTGGTGTGTTTTATGTTCAAAGAACACCAAGCACAGGAATGTCCCAAGCCACACTCTCCATCCAACCAAACACACCTGCAAGAGAAAAGGACCAGGAGCTTTGCCCCAACACATCCCCCAGCCCAAGACAGCAACCCAGCACACAAACCTGCATGCATTGTACCCTTCCATGGATTCAGACACCCTAACTGCACCAGAGCAAGTTTAGGCTGGACATAAGGAAGAAATTCCTAATAAAAGAGTGATTAGATAAATATCTAAAGGGCTGCCCAGGGTGGCGGCAGAGTCACCGTCCCTGGAGATGTTTAAGGAAGGACTGGATGTGGCACTCAGTGCCGTGGTCTGGCTGACAGGTGTTCAGTCACAGGTTGGCCTCGATGATCTCGGAGGCCTTTTCTGACTCAGATGAGTCTGTGAAAAGGCACGGACGCTCGCAGAGCTGGGAAAGCGGGATACCTGGCGGCCCGAGAGGAAAGGTGACAGCGCACAAGCCCCAGAGCCCGCAGCCACCGCCCCCAGCTCACCTGGCAGGTACTCCGCCTGGAAACGCCGCCGGGTCTCGCTGATCAACGCCCCCTTATCCTGCCGCTGCTGAAAGGAAACAAGGAACAGGAGGCCGTGAAAGGAAGCGCTCCAGAGAACCCCAGACCCCCACCTGTACGCCAGGGCCCGGCCACCCGTCCTGCCCGACCGCCAACGCCGAGCGGCTGCGGCTGGCGAGAGAACGCCCGGCAGGAAGGCGGCAGCGAGGGGCAGGGGCGCAGGGACTCACCTCAGCCATGATCCAGCGGGTCCGCCCGCGCCGCCCGCACTGAGGCGGCTCCGGCGGCGCGAGGAGCGGCGGGAAAAGGGGATGGAGCGGCGCCCGGGGGCGGGGCCGTCGCTGGGGCGGGGCCGTCGCTGGGGCGGGGCCGCCGCTGGGGCGGCCCCGCCCCAGCGACGGCCCCGCCCCAGCGACGGCCCCGCCCCAGGACGGCCCCGCCCCAGCGACGGCCCCGCCCCAGCGACGGCCCCGCCCCAGGACGGCCCCGCCGCCGGGCGCGCTCCCGTCATGCTCCCCGCGGCGGGAGCTCTGCAGCGGCCCCGCCGAGCGGCCGCAGTGCGCGCAGCCCGCGGTCGCTGCCCCTGCCCGGTGTGTGCGGAGCGGGCGGTGCCGCGGCCTGAGCGGGCGAGGGGCAGCGCTGCGGACCCTGCAGGTTGAGCGAAACTCGGTGAGACGGCTGCGGTCCCCTCGGCGTCCCGGGGCCTTCTCTGGGCGAGCAGGCAGAGAGGGAGGGGGTCTACTTGGCCGCAAAATGATGGTTCCGCAGAGAACTTTCTCCTTTGAGGCTTTATCGTTTTAACAAAAAATAAATTATAGCTATTAATAAGCACTGCGCCCAAGAGAAGGCACAGTTACTTTCCTGTCTGCTCAGTATATTTGTGGCTTCTTCAATACAGTCACACAAATTGTGAGTGTGTGGCTTGGTTTCCATCAATACGTATTACACTATGCAGCTGTTGATAACCAGAGAATTCATACTCTGGTAAAGAAACGTTTCTGGTAGTTAAATCGCTCAGTACAAAGTTGTTTAATTTCATTGTTAATCAGTGAGATTAAAGCACATACTGGCCTCATTCTCAAATTTTTCTGTCTTATTGCTTTGCAATGCATAGTTATTCTTAAGGCTCAGTTCAGCTCGTCGCAAAACAATTTATTTTTTTTATTTGCTTTTTGTAGATGGAAAGTGTCCAGAAAGGGTAAAAGTTCCACAAAGAAATAAGCCTGACAGAAATAGGGACACATGATTTTCTTGTAGAGGAATATACATAAAGATATATCAAGATGCTTCTGAGTGAGCAAGATCAAGTCTTGTCCTACAATGGTGAAGTCCTTGTATTTCAGTTGTCAAAACCAAAGCAAGCAGAGGAAGCAGAGGATAAAGGCATGAATTTATATGTCAAAAGGATGGTGTTCAACAAAGACACTAAGCTATTTGTTCAGAAGTCTTCTGGAGTATTCAGCATGGGAGCCAGTCACTCAAAGACTGAAATTATTTGCTGTAGCTGCACAACAGATTCCAGAACAGGGATTATTCTTCCCTGCATTTTGATGAAGAAGAAAAAACGGAACAGTATCAAATACTTTTTATTGTTGCTTCACAGTTCAAACCAATTTGAGCCATCCTTTTATTTTAAATTGGATTATGAGTTGAAAGAAGACATCAGATTGTTTGCTGGTCCCTCACTGTTGTGGAGACATGCCAACAAGCTGTTCTACATCTCTTCCAACACCCACGTGGTTCAAAGTGCTCCTGTTCATCTTTCTTGTGTCGTGTGGACAGGTGAAATTGTGGGTGAAGGCACTGTTGTCTTAGGGATAAGAACTGCTTTCCTGCCAGAGACTGAAGGCTCAGATGGGTTTTCGGTTTCAGACAGAGCCATCTGGGGTAGTGAGTTCTTTGGATACGCGATTCAGTCACAAAAATTTCTGACTGGCACGTGCTTCATGCCTCATGCTTACAGCAGAGTGGTATCATCTGTCTACGTCTGCAGGAGTGAGAGACTAAGAAAACAGCTCCGAATATCACTTGTTGCCATAACCCACAAGAACCAGCTTATTTGGTTCCAAAATGGTACCCCTAAAGGTGTTTGTGAGCTTCCTTACGAAAAGCCATGTTCAGTAAAACCAGCTCTAACCAGCAGCAGTGATTTGCTATTTGCTGTGTCTTTTGCCTCTGGAAATAGCTGTGTTATACAGAGGAGAGACAGCTTACAGGTACTGGTAGCTTTAAACAGCTCTGTTTTACTGTGGTCTTTTTTGTATATGTCGTCTTATTGAATGCCTGCAACTCAAAACCTGCATGTTTAAGTTCTTTAGATTTCTTGTTTGTTTATTACTGTTGCTGCTGGTAAAATAACCTGTCTAAAGTATGACATTGTTTTGCTTCTGTTGCTTGCTTATATATCTGAAAATGAAGCTGGTATTCTCTCATTTAGTAATACGTTTATGAATCTGACCAAAGCTTCTGTTGCTAATAGAAAACTGCAGTAGTGTGAAAACTTGAAGTTGTAAGGCAGCTATGAGTGTGCCTGGATTATTTCTGTTAGAAGTAACCTCATATCACTGCAAACTATAAAATACTCATTGGAACATCAAAGCTTTTTGAGCCTTAATTCCTAATACCAAAAAATTGTTCCTAGAAAATGTTGTTTTATAAAAATGACAGGAAAAGGCCTTGCTATTGTTTCTTAAAATTAGGAGAGACAAAGTTTCTGCTAGGGTTTTGTAATAGTATGACATGAAGGCTTCTATAAGTCAGGAAATAAAAATTTGTACTACTTAGTTGCTGGTATTATTATAAAAATTTGTCTTTAACTTTCAAACATAGTTAAGTCTGTTGTGAAACAGAGATATTTCTCAATATCAAAGGTACAATGCCTTTAATTGATCTTCAACTGATCTAGTACTTCTAAATAAATGTTACAACATTCAGCTGTTCAGCTGTTTGAATACACTAAAAAGTTGTCATCTTCTCTGCAGCCTGTAATCCAGAAAGTGATCTTTAAAGAGAAATGGCTAATTTTTCCTGGTGTTTCATAGGCTCTAAATGATGGGGTGAGATTGAGAGCTTGAGATTTCTAAATATTATTGTATTTCACATAACTGAATAGGCTCTCTCTTAATGGAAAGCAAGTTTCACCAAAATGAGATCTCAAATACAAGATTTATTCTGATAAATGTGTTTTAAAACCTCTTTTACTGTAGGTGGCTTCCAAATGGCAAAAAGTGAAGTGTGTTCTGGTGGATGATTTTATTGGCTCTGGAAGTGAGCAGCTGTTACTGCTTTTTAAGGATGACTCCAATACAGACATATTAAGTACATTCGAAATAACAGATCTTGGGGAGGTCAACTATGCAGTAAGTTGAGCTTGCCTTTTCTCAGCTACTCAGTCTGTGCTTACTAAATTAAGAAAACCCCAACAAATCATTAAAGTATTGATGCAAAGTGAAATTGGATGTGTGCTGTGAAATGCCCTGAAGTTTGAATACAATATTCCCTGCTGTTATCTTAAATTATCTGAAGATGTTATTTTGCTTCTATGATTGTATCAACATTCTGTTGGGAAATGAATGCAGCTGAAAATGCTTTACATATGTAATAGTTTTGCCACAATGGTTACCTTTTGGCTAAGAACCCTTAATTTAATTAAGGCCATAGTGGTTGTTAATTATCTTCTCATAACTGGATCTTTCCATTATGTACTATCAAATTCTAATTGCTTTCAGAAAATAGGATTTTTCTTTTAAAAGACAGTGTGATTCTCCTGGCTTGCTGTGTTTTCTCCCAGATTTTTATAATGCTGTGTAATAGCCTGTACCTTACTTTCAGCTTTTTAATTCATTCAGGGTTTTTGTTTTGTTTTTTCCTTTCAGAGTGATATCAATTATAAATACGATGTTCCTGCTGCAGAAGGATTGCAAGAGAATGGTTTGCTTACCATCCGAGCCCTTGAAACAAGATTGCAGGTTTGTACTCAACAGTTCTGCCTCCCTGTTTTCTGTAAATTACTGTTCTGTATCATTGCATTATCTAGAGGGTGAGGCTAATGATACTGTTATTATTGAAGAAGTGGTTCAGGGAAAAGGTCAACGTGTTGAGTATTTATTCTTGAATAATAGTAGTCTTTGTTTCAGTTGTTTCTTTCGGTTGTTATGAGTGCATTTAGGTGATTCTAGTGGTCTAACTTAATTTTAATTAAAAGTTTGAGATAATGCTGAAGCTATCTTATCAAAGCTCCTTAGCAGCCATTTTACTTGTATTTAAATACCATCTTAAAAAAAAATTGGGATGTTTACTTCTTTTGCTCCCCGTTACATACATAACTTTCAGGTCACGTAGTGGCAGGTTCCCAGTGAGTGCATGTGCACAAATTGGTGATGGTTATTTCACCACCTTCTGATGTTCATGGTCCTGTTATTAGTGGTTTTACAAGGATATTTTTGAGATGTACTGTAGATAAAGCTAAAATATATCCCTCTTTTAACTAAAATAATGTTTAAAACAAACTGGGAGAAACTTGGGAGTTTCCCACCCAACATACTCACCAGTGTGATTGCTTTTGCAGTGTTTATATTAGCCTATACCAAATGGGTAATAATTGACAAATAGGAGGATTATTTAAGAAAAAAAAAGGTTGAGGGGAGGACATGACTCTCATACTGAGTCAATGATGTGAGGCTATTGTTAATTTGCTAAGGGTACTTTAAAGACGAGATATGAGGTAATTATTCCTGTCACTTGAGAATTAGTGAGAACTAAGTAGGGTATTGTGGCAGTTTTATTTCCAGCCTTTAAAAATGAAACAAATGAATTGGTAATAGTTTACCAGTCAATAAATAAATAAAAGGAGGACATATTAGTAAAAGACTGAAAAACAAAAGACTTTTCTAGTTCTAATGACAAGGTATCTAAAGTGCATAATCCACAAGACAAAAACTGTTTGAAGAACAGTGGACAAAATTGTTTCCTTCCCCTCCTAGAAGGCTAGAAAAGAGAAGCTGAATTAATTTTGAGGACCTCTTGAGGTCCCTTCCAATCCTACTTTTTACAGTTTGCATGTTAGAGGCCTACTGGTTTCTGCTTTAATGTGCAGAAGTGCAGTCTTCCTTCCAAATGCATATTTTTGTGTTTCTGCATTTGTTTCTTTTTGGACAGTCATATTTTAAAATTTACTTCACTTCTGCCTTCTTGCCCTACTCATTACATTACTTTCCTCTTCTACAAAACAGAAATTAATTTCTGTCTCTTACTGGCTGCTTCTTCCTCAAATCTAATGAAGTTGTCCA